GGAATATGGATTAATTGACATAAATAAGAAAGCTTAGAATAGTTCTATAAGAGTTCGAAATATGTTTTTTCGTAAGCACTTTGAGTTTCCTCTGTAAAGATACGGTGTTTAGAGAAAACCGCAAAATTTTCAGGTTGGGTAGGTGAAACGATATTCATGTATAGTATAAGCGGATTTATAAAATGTTTCCACCCATAACTAGAGCACAATCTCTTTTAAAACTCTATAGATACTTCAATTTACATAGTCTACTAATTTCTAGAGATTTTCTTCGAATTATTGCTGGAATAGCATTGCATTACAATGTGCAATACTACTCTTGGAGAACATTTCATTGTTTTATGATTATTTTGATGTGCTCCAACCATGCATAGTCTTATTGAGTCTATTTTATCATATTTCCTCTGTTACTAGTATTCAACTCTCGTTAGTAATGATAAGAATCCAAATTTCTGTGGAAAAATACTACATTACCATTGTAACGAGAACTGTAACACGAAATCAATGTGGAACCCAGGCAATTAATAAATGCAAGCGACCACTAACGGCCTACGAGTGCTTTCGTAGTCACTTGATTGAAGAATTTCGCCAACTTTGGTTTACCCTCACACGCTACATAGAGACATTTCAACCAAAATATCACCATTCTGTAATGCTATTACATCGGCGTGACTAGTGGGAGATTTGACAAAGCAAAGCCACCTCTCCAATTATTCAAAGCCACCTTCGAGGACATCATGGAAATGTTGCAAAGATGCAACATAAGAGCGAAATGTAAAATTGCACATTACACCATTTCCTTCATTGATGACGTTGTTTTGATAATACCAAGAACCATCTAAGCAAATCGGATGCTCTAGCTGCATCTGTGTAGGTCGGGGAGTCGATATGGTGAACGATCTACCTCGTGAGTTGAAAAGAAAGATGCTGGTAAGAGGATAGAGAATACAGTAAAAACAGCAAAAAGCATCCGACTTCGCTCCCAATTTTCAACTTAATGAATATTCAACGTGTGCTTTATGACACTTACAATGTGCAAGCACGATGAAACATCATTTGGCGTTATTGAACCCACAGTAACTCGCACATGAGGAAAATCGTCCTAAGTTCTCGTCGGTGTTAGGTATCAAAAGGCATAGATAACCTTCTAGCTGTCAGGAAAAATGTGAGCTGAACTCCTCGATAGAAACAAACAATGGAAAACCACTTGATGAGCATCAACATCATCGACAAAGATCTGGGAGAACGACATGACGATTCAAAAATCACTACGGGTAGAAAACTCACCGTGACATATCCACATAAAATAACGATGTGAAGTAATTGCGTCCATATGATTTTTTGGCAAAACAGTTTGTAAAAGCAATGATCAAAACACTACCGCAATGATAAAGTAGAGAGAATACTGTAGCAAAATTGTTCGTGACATGGCAAATCAAACAAATTGACACGGAACTTCCTATTCAACTTTAGTCATCGTTCGCAAAAAATCTCATAACGGCGCCCATAATTTTGTTGCGATGATGATGTTTCCAATCTGTCATACGAGAATTGGACGAAGCCGAATTCGTCATGTTAGAAGTCGAAGATTCCTAGCTACATTATGGAAAAAAGGTACAACTTTCTGCTTCAAATATTACGCTCTTACTACTGGAATGAGAATGCCGCGGGAAAACAAATATCTCCAGATCTCGATTTGTCGGGTGGTGGAACAATCAGCAAAGAGCTCTTATAATCCGAACCCAATCCACCGTATGTTGCGGAGCGCTTTTATGAAATGAAGAAAGAGTAGTATTATTATGATGACGAAGATGGCGAAATCGCGTGTTGGATGTAGATCGCTTTGCTGTAGGACAGCATTACATACCCTGAAACTTGTCTTGAGCAGAAAGATTCTGGAATACAGGAAGCAGCAGTTCGCTATTTCCAGATAATCCTTTGAAATCTTTGCATTCAAGAGTCCTTCTAAAATAGCCTCGCTCAAAGCAGTGTAATGTGATATCTTATTTATAGCCTTTCAATCTTCTTAAAACATTTGCAGAAATGAGATATGCCCTGTGGAGTTCGTAACCGTAACACAAAAGTTTTGAAGAGTGAATCTCGTCACACATAGCTTCTTGCAGGCTAAGATAGACAAATGAATGAAGACTTTATAATGTAATATATGCATCAAGAAGATTTTTCCTTTTCTGTATATCGTAAAGAGGTTGTGAAAAATTAAAAGCGTTTCATAAGCACCCACTTGCTTTAAAAACTAAGAACGATTGAAATGGTCAGTAAGGAAGCCCTTGCTCATTGCCAGTTCATTTGCGTTCTCAAGTTGTCTACTTAACTTTCTTCTCCTGATCGCTAATATTAGTATGTTATCGAGACGAATTCTTTATTTTGGAAAAGTTGGGATTTTATATTGTCGCATGATAAATGAGAAGGCGGGAACCGAATTGAAACCGCGCCACTTGAAAACTTATGTTTTCAATATGCTTTCTGTTCAAGTGTTCTTTTCCACACAATTTATTGTTATTCAACATTTGACATTCATTTCACTTTACTAACCAATATAGATGCTTCTGAATAGCAGCATATGGCACAAAACGTGCCGAGAAAGATTCCGCTTATAATCGAAGGAGTTGGGTACCTCAAAGGCTTGAGAACTCAAAAAGCTGTTTAGGCGACATCATTGATGTCTACGCGCTGAAAGCCAAAATCGTTGCATTTCTATAATTTATCTGATACAATAAAGTAGCAAATCATTTTTCACCAAAGCCTAGACTATTTTCCTAGATTTTCAAGAGCCGTATGAAAGTTCTGACGAACATGGCCACACTTTCGACTCTTGCATTTGTTGTTTTACTCCTAACTATAATCTCCACAGTTTTGGGATGTGGAATGATGCCTGCCATTCAAGGTAAGAACAGGAGATTATCTTCTTCTTTATAAGAATCAAAAAATGTTTCCAATCTCACATAAGTTTATGAACACTAATGTATCATCAGCAGTCAGTAGTTGGTTTTACCCAATCTTTTTGACGAAGGGTTTCGAAGTTTGAATGTGTATATTCGAACATCGCTAAAATTATTAACATAGCAACTTAGTTTAAGAGTACTACTCAGAAAAAGCTACGAAAGTTTATTGTAGCGAGAAGTAGGCCATTCACCGTAACCGGTTTCACAACATTGCCTGTTGCCATGGTTTACTCTACCGCTGCCGATGTACAGTCTCAGGTTCCTGGCATTGCTTTTAGCAAGGAAGGAGCTCAAGGATTTGTGCAACGTCTCGTAATGCAAACGGTAAGTTTGCAGTGTTATAATTTGCGTGCTTTTCGTTTTTTTTTCTGCGAAATCCATAGAGCGTTGAAAATGAGCTCCAATTATCTGACAACTCATCAGCTTTCTAGCACTACATTGATTACTACGGCTTCACACATTCTGTATAAAAACACTTCCAAGCTAACTATTCAAACTGGTGGAAAGATTTGTTTTTCAGGTCTTTGATGTTCTTGAAAGCCAAGGTCGTAGTGCACTCCTACCTGATGCGGTAATCTCGAGCATTCTAAGTCAACTTGATGTTAAAATCACCTATGAAGCAATGCAATGCCAGAATTTTGTTCGTAATCCGACTACGGATATGGGTAAGTTATGGCTACTGAGTATCGATTTGAATACTCCAAGCAAAAATACAACAATTCTAGAAAAATGATCAAAATTTCCTCTTCTTCTATCTTTTCTCATTTTTTCTCCTCACAATTGCTGAATTTTTAAAAGAATAATAGGAAATTAATATATAGTATTCAGTGTGATGAGTTATAGTTTAAGCAGTTTTGAGGAGTAAAACTCGTCACTCATAGTTTCTTGCAGTCGAAGATATGAAAGATAAATGCATTATCGTTGGCAACACGGTAATGGGAGTGTGCACTAAAATGATGATGATGAAGAATTGTATGGATGTGGATGTAAAAATTACTCCTGTTCCCGCCAGTCATACGTCAGTAAAGGGAACGCTCACGGTTTGAACTGTTTCTTTTTCTGCACAGCTTCGTTTTGTAGAGAAGAATTTTGTTTAGACTACAAACATCATCATGGCGAATTGGTCAAGAACAATGTGGCAAAATGTACTTAACAGAGCGATTCGAATGCTGGCATTAAGTTCATTTGGATCGCACTTCTTCTCAGCAACGGGCTCTGTCGGCGGAAGCTGAAGTTAAACTTTATCGCGTTTGGAGCAATCGTCTTACTAAACATACAAATTTCAAAACATTACACAGTATATCAAAGTAATGAATCATATCGGTGTCGATTTTCCAAGTGATCCACCAGCAAAAATATGAGGTGTGGTAAATTCGACTTAGTGCCTCGTTTGAGAAGTAACTCACGAATTTGCAAATAAACAATCACAGTAGGAATCACTCATTGTTTCAAATTCAAAAAACGCTCTCGGCATTGTCCTCTCAGTGGCCATCACGGCAGTTGGGAGCGCCATGGTAATGAACTTAACAAAAGCTATATAACTACAATTCATATTGCAGTGAGACACAATAACGTAATAAAAACGAAACCAAGATAATATTAGTAAAGCAATAATGACAATAAAATGGCATGTGTGCAGTAATTAACAATATAACAAAATCTAATCAATATGAATTCTTTGATATCCGATCTCCCAGAAGTTGCTGTCACCACTTTCGCATTTCGACATTTTTGTTAATTTTATTTATATACCTAAGAGAAGACCTTAAGAGCCATGTGGCGCAGTGGTTAGAGGATCCCCAAGGGGTTGGTAAATTGGTACCAGACTGGTGTCAGACTTGCCTGGGAAGATAAGTAGCACTGACCCGGTTTAGTGGAGGGCCACCGCAAGTCAATGTAAAGGCCAGATATGCATTCAATAACCTCTATGAAATTAAAAATTGAAGACGAATGCATGGTGCATCGCTCAGCATTAATCAACGCCGAGAGCTTTATCCTATCCTTTACCTAAGAGAATTGAGTGCTGGACAAAAGCACAGCCTCAGGCGAGAATCGAACCTGCGTTTCTTCCTATCCGGGAACTCGTGCTCTACTACTACACCACCGAGGCACACTCTTTATAAACCCAGTTGAGCTGACGGCCACTGTTAGATATAATGCTCCGAGATTCTAGTATTTTTCTAGACATTCTAGTTATAAAGCGAAATCGCACACCCGACCAAACTTGTTGAAGGTTGGTGGCTGATAGCTATCACCGAGATGTTGAAGAACGAGTGGGTCGGGCGAACGTTCCTGGGTGGTGTAGTGGTAGAACACGCGTCCCCGGTATGAATGAAACGCGGGTGCGATCCCGCCTAAGGAAGTGTTTTTGCTCAATGCTCAATTCTATTAGGTATATAAGTAACATCATAACACTGCGAAAAAAAAAACAACAAAAATGCTAGAATATCGGAGTTAACTTTATTGTTATTTAATATATCTGCGAGAATGTGTAAGCCTTACAAAGGTTGTTACGTCAGAGCCATACTTGCGTTTCGGAGGTGTCACTTTCTTTATCAGAGGTTTGAACATTCTGACAGATCATAATGAATGTTTATAGCAAGATTCAAAAACAGTGGCTGAGATATGATATAGATGCATTCCTAAATATTCACTACCAGTCTTAATCTATCGACTGAAGAAATATGATAACACGAAATCATGTGCTGCCAGCATAAACAGCGTCTCTCCATCCCTGCTACAAAGTAGGGATCAGTGTGGCATGAACCACTGATGAAGAGGGCCACATCTGCGCAGCCCAAGTATGGCTCTGACATAGCAGCCTCTGTAAGGCTTTGGACACTCACAGACGGTATTGAATGTGTATAGGGAGGTTTAGAGCGGTCGATCAGATTAGTTGTTATTTATACAAAGATATCAGTCAAAATACTTTATTCATCAAATATGATCACTCACTATGATTATTGATATGCAGTTATTTTCTAAACAGGGACTAGGCGCTTTCCTTCCATGAATAAGGCGAGCAATCAGAGAAGTCGTTGAAGTCAATTTTAAGACGGCCGTAGTACTCTCGCAGATACTCCTCTAGAGAGGGAAGAAGAGGCAATAATCCGATGGAGCATCATCGCTATAGCAAAACTCCCAAGGGAGCTTTGCTATCTTTTCGAGAATTACATGATTTTTAGGCAACAATGGTGGTTTATGACTTTAGAGAGCAAATAACATCGCAGAGGTTCGAGGATCTTAGGCACAGAAATGGTCCAAGTGACGAGAACGGCACCCAGCTGATGCCAACCTCAACAGTCAGTTCGATTGCTGGACATCATCCGAACGGTCGCCTGGCATCGCCTTGACCACCTACTCATTATCGATCCATTATTGCTCTCTTCACACAAACTCGTTTTCTTGTATCTAATTGCTGTCATAAGGTTGCGATCATACAACTGTCAGACGAACTTAATAGATCTGTGAGCAGAACATATCAGTTACTTGGCGGAGCAAACTCATTTAGGATATGACCGGCCTACCACCACGATCAAGGGATTCTGCCCATGTGTAACAGCAGTTATCCCACTGCTATCACAATATACTCTTCCACTAGGTCCTGCCACTGGTGCTTGTACTACAGGATGCACATAGTAACCCCAAATGGGCTCCGCTTCCTAGTCGTGCTCCGTCAATGTCAACATTAATGGTATCGTCACACGACGATACATCTCACTTAATCATACTCACATAACCATACATCGCAATCATGCACATATTTTCAAAAAAAAAAAGAATGTTCAGAGTCTAAGCGAGGTTTGTATGCCAGGTCCATATGCGCGTGTTACAGAGGTCTCGCGCTCCTCGTCAGTGACCCACTCCCCATATTAAGCCCTACATTGTAGCAAAGAGGGAGGAGTGCGTGGTGATGGCACAGTGTACATCGACACTGGTCCATCACCACTTTTCAGTTGATGGACCTCGACTGGTAGAACAAAACTGATTCATGGCATGGGCTGTTTTCAAAGCCTCGCAATAAACATTAAATGTAAATTTTAAGGATGTTCAAAGCCTCACCCGAGGCTGGTACGCTAGGGCTGTGCACGCTGTATTGCTACAATGTAGGCTTAATGGGGCGGGGGGTGGGCTACTGACGAGGGTGGCGAGACTTGCGAAACACGCGTGTATAGCCTTGGCGTACCGACCTTGGGTAAGGCTTCAAACATTCTCAAAAATTTGCATTGAATAATTATTGCGAGGTTTTGAAAACAGTCGATGCCATGGTTAACATATTCAACTTGAAACAAGAAATACATTTTTATGAAATTATCATTGTATTTAATACTCAGCACTTGTATGTGAGTAACTTCGGAGAATCAGCCTTTAGTCCTTCTCAAGAGCTCAGGAGTTGCTAACTCAATTATTTCAATAGATCTCTTCATTATTATTTGAGCCAACATGTCATGTGGTCTGGTAATGGGCTCTTGTATATCCCGATACACGTGTTTCGACCTTACAGTCTCGTCAGTTGGGGAAAGACCCGCCGTCTTTCAGTCTTTTTTAGCCAATCCTCGGTGGGTGCTCCAGTACCCACACTAAGAGGGAAATAAAGTTATAACAATTAATTCAGCAAAACTTCTCGAAGCAACTATCTGAAGAGATCTGCTATACCTAAGCAGAAGGAAAACGGCTAATGAGCTGAATTCCTTGCAAAATTCTGAATTAAGGCCAATTGAGCTGAAGTGCCCAGTACAGAACAAATTTCAGTGAACTCGCTGAAACCTCAGGTATCATGGCTTGAATTTGGTTTCTGCCTTCTCATTTGTGATGCTGCGACACAGAATCCCTACTGTCCCAAGAGTAAGACATTCGCGATAGAGGAAACACTGACGTCACAAGTGCATTATTGTGAAATGTTCTGCGAAAAGAGATACTGATTGGCAGAAAACGAACATAGCTTTTTGCTGTGGGAAATTTTTTAGAAAGCGGATTAGCGTTGATAAGCTTTGGTGCTCCTTTGGGCGTCACACTTTTAATGCACTCATAAGGTCCCTTTTGTTGACGGATAAATCGGCTAATAGCCAAGTAAAAGCTTGTACAGAATTTTGATGATATCTTTGAATTAAAGCTGGTATTGAGGTGTTACCAAGAATCCACTAAAGTGAGGAAGGTGAAGGAAAACAGTGTCCAACAAAAAAATTTTATGGCAAAAAACAAGAGTCTTATTGAGAGGCACATAAATATTACCCTTTATAGAACTAATAGCGCATCGAGTTGTGAAGGTAAAATGGATGCTGTGAAAAACTCTACTGACATGACAGTGATCAGTGGCATACTTGCAAACAAAACAGAATTTCCAGTTGCATAATTCGTGCAGTGAAGCCTTATTCGACTGGTGGAACGGTCTCAATTGTCCAATGATTTACTTCATTCCACCTAATGAAATAATTCATCAATGAATTGAAAGTGCCATTTCCTTAATATGTGAAGTCCGACTTATGTCGCATCTTAAACTTCTAAGGTGATCTAAAAATGAGCTAAATAGTAGAGATTCGTCGAATGTTTCATTTGTCAAATGTATCCCTCCTATAACAAAAGCGGACTACTGTGGTTACACCATTTGAGTTGACTAATCTGCTGACAAGAAAGAGGCACTCTGGTCTGAGTGTTACCAATAAACTTCAATCTTAATTTGTTTAAAAACTTTCTGAAACAACTCCTTGAGATAAATCCGATTCTTTTATGAAGACAGTACACCGGAGTGTGCTATTTTGTGATTTGATCGATCAAAGTTTTGATTGCTTAATGAGGGCAGTGACCGTTCAATCATAAGGTAACGCGATTCAATAGTAGAATAACTTATACGGTAGCCTGCAGTGTTACTATTTAGGGAACAGAGACGTAATACTCTGAAAAACCTTGTACTCAAGGTTTTACAGTGGAGAAGTTGCAATGGAAGGCCATTTGAGAGACATTACATGTGCAGAGAATGTAAGAAAACTTAATGGCCTTAGCTCCAATGTGTCAACGAGAGTTGCCCGACCCGGAACATAATAATTCTGTTTCTCTCTTTCGCGAGTGATAAATTCAAAAACACACTAGGCGCTGTAAAAGCGTCGTCCCTCTTGTGAGTTTTTTATGCACGCCGAGTAGAGCTGAATGAAGCAGTTCCGTGTTGTTGCAATTCTACGCTGTGTCACCTCCACGTTGTAACAGTTACGTGTTGTAGCAGTTTCGTGTGGTAGCATTCCGGTGTTGTTTTATTGAATTATTGAGTGGAAAACAATTTTGCTGCATCATTCTTCCTGTATAGATGCTTTACTAAGTTGGGGAAGTTCTAGCAATGCTTCCAGTTTGTATCGATAAAGATCTTATAAGCAGAAACGTTTAGCAACGTTATTTTACGTGAATTGCTGCGTAGTAGGTGTCAAGTCTTTTGACGAAGCTGAAATCCATTTAGAAGGGCGACAGTGGGAACAGTACTTCATTTGTGCGGTGCTTCACCCTATTCGATTCTTTCCAATTTTAAGGTTATGGAGACCAATATCACAGAAAGAAGAAATGATGTGGAAACGCGATTCAAATCATCTGACTCTGATGAATTAGAAACGGTCAAAATTCTAACCATAGTAGTGATCTATAACGACCTTGTGTAAGCATCAAAAAAATTTAGGCAATTTTGCGCTAGTACCATGTTTCGACACTTCGAGAAAGACGCAGTTTTTACGTCTTGATTTTGTTGTTGTCGTTCAATAGCTCAGATCAAAAGAACTTGGATGGTATGTTATATTTTCAAAATGACTTCTCTATTATGTTGAACCAGAAAAATAAATGTTGTTTCATACTTAAACATTCCTTTCCGGAAAAGGCTTTTTTGTTAAATTTTTAGCAATCATTCGTTAGCTTATATCCCTTATATCCCGTAGAATCCAATAAATCGTTGGCTTCTGCAAAAGACTTTTTGATGGCTGTATCAGCCAAAAGAATATCAAATTTCGCGAAGCGCAACATCGATACCAAACCACCGTCCTTTACCTGTATGTGGATAAGTATTTCGCAACAAGGCCGCTAAGCCACCTTGGTTTTTCCACTGCCAAATGTGAAAAACAGCCTTATTTGATTGTT